ATTTTAAAATAATTAAAAACATATAAGAAATTGACATTTACTTAACGAACACATACTTATTGCCTATATATTTGTTTGAAGATCTGAGTCAAAGAAATAAAGAGAGAAAAAAAAAGCATTCAAACATGGGGGGGCATTTTCATTCAAAGCACACACAAATACATACATACATACACATATGTAAATAATTATTATTAAAAGTTCAAAATAAAATATGGATTTTTTTTGGGTAAGTGTAATAGGCAAGATTTTACAACAGAGGTAAAATGAATACCCATTCAATAAAGGAGGACAGATAAGGAAACTTACATGGGTGAGAGCTTTCTAGAGGTCAGTTTACCAGCTATCAAAATGTAGACCGAGGTGGGCAAGACGGCTCATAGGTAAAGGCAACCAAACTTAAACTACCTTAGAGTTTAATCCCCAGGACCTAAGAACCCATCCCAAACCACCCCCTTGCAATGCACTCAAGTGTGGTAACAGCATATGTCTGGAAACCCAGCATCAAGAGAGGCTGATGCATTCTAAGCCAGTGTGAGCACCACAGCAAAAGAAAGACATCTGAGAGCATCTCCCCCATTACCTCACTGCCACAAAACAGAAACAAACACCTTAAAATGCCCATTTAAAATCAAGCCAGGCAGTGATGGCACACACCTTTAATCCCAATAGGTAGAGGCAGGTGGATCTCTGTGAGTTTGAGGCCAGCCTGGTCTACAGAGTGAGTTCCAGAGAAACCCTTCCTGGAAAAACCAAACCAAGCCAAACCAAAAAAAAAAAAAAAAAAAAAAAAAATCCTCGTGGTTGGGAAAATGGTGCCTGCTGCCAGGACTGATGGTCTAAGTTCAATACAACCCACTGTAAGGAGAGAGCCAGCTCCCACAGGGTGCCCTCTGACCTTCTCATGTCCCTCCCCCACAACACACACAAAACAAAATAAAATAAAAAATGTTTATTATTTTAATGTTTATTTATTTAAAAAAATTCAGTCCTCTTAGAGAAAGCACATGAACATGCACATGTGCAAAAATATCTGACAGGGACTCTGGTTAAGCTCTCCCACTCAGATCCAGAAAACCACAGTGAGCACAGATAACTCCTCACTGTTAAGGAGACAGGTACCACTGTGTGTATTGATATGGAAATCAACACACAAGGGTCCTCCCCCACTCCGCCCCATTTAAAAATCAAGGTAAACAGGTCATGGTAGCTCAACATATAATCCAAGCACCTGGATGGCTCAGAAAGAGGATCGATCACCATGAGTTCAAGGCCAGCCACACTACATATGGAGACCCTGTCCCAGAAGTACTAAACAAAATAATTTAAATCAACTAAAAAACACACTCTGAATAGTTGCTTCCTTCGAGCTTCTTATTAAATAAAACTGTCAGCAATGGGGGACTGGAGAGATGGCTCAGCAGTTAAAAGCACAGAGTGCTCTCCCAGAGGACTGGTGTTCAATTATCACCCACATGGCCGCTCCCAACTGTCTGTAATTCCAGTTCCAGGGGTCTGACTCTCTCTAATGGCCTTCATTGGTGTCCATGTGCTGCATACACACACACACACACACACACACACACACACACACACACACGCAGGCAAAACACATATACACATCAAAAATAATTCTTAAAAAATAAAAGGAGCCCCGGGTGGTGGTGTCCCCGACTTTAATCCCAGCACTCAGGAGGCAGAGGCCAGCCTAGTCTACAGAGTGAGTTCCAGGACAGCCAGAGCTGTAACACAGAGAAATTCTGTCTTGAAAAACCAAATAAAGGGGGCTGGAGAGATGGCTCAGAGGTTAAGAGCACTGATTGCTCTTCCAGAGGTCCTGAGTTCAATTCCCAGCACCCACATGGTGGCTCACACCCATCTATAATGAGATCTGGTGTTCTCTTCTGGCCTGCAGTCATACATGCTGTATACATAATAAATAGATAAATCTTTTAAAAAAATAAAAATAGGCCGGGCGGTGGTGGCGCACGCCTTTAATCCCAGCACTTGGGAGGCAAAGCCAGGCGGATCTCTGTGAGTTCGAGGCCAGTCTGGGCTACCAAGTGAGTTCCAGGAAAGGCGCAAAGCTGCACAGAGAAACCCTGTCTCGAAAAACCAAAAAAAATAAATAAATAAATAAATAAAAATAAAACAAACAAAAAAAGGAGGGCTGGAGAGATGGTCCAGAAGACCCAGGTTCAATTCCCACCACCCACATGGCAGTTCACCTGTAACTCCAGTTCCAGGACTTCTGACACACTCACACAGACATATATACAGACAAAACATCAATGAATATTTAAAAAATATATATACAAGAAGAACTCAGAAGCACAATTTGCAAGTAACAACCTCCTTCTCATTAGACAAGAATCAGTTAATACTGTAACTAGAAGCACTTGAGTGGTGGGTGTGTGACGGGTGAGTGGCGGGTGAACCTGATCTAGTCTCAAGACTTGAACCACAGTCCAATTTAAACCAAAACCAGAAATCTCAGAAAGCCAAAAGAAATGCATACTGAACATTATTACTGTAATAATCAATAATGATAATGATAGTAAGGATTCAACCATACCTACTTGCTACCTATACAAGCTCTTGAGTTCTGTGAAAGTATAATTCAAAGTTTATTCTTAACTAACCAGAACAAGTTCTAAGTTCCCTCATTTAAAACATGTAATTGAACTGAAATATAAACTACCCCTCATCATGTCTACTTGGAAACCTGCCTATGATAAAGATCAAAGAAATATGAGAAGCCCCACTCCTTTAGCAGACATACATCAACTAAAAACTATACTTCATAAATTTAGGTTTGCAGCGTTGGTATCATATAACACAAGGTCCAGAAGAATTAATCTCTTTTTCTCTGATGGTAAACTTAGAATCATGACCCCAAGAGAAGTGAAATATCCAAGAATACTTTTTTTTTTTAATGTCTGCTTGCCAACCACAATGGTGCACACCTGTAATCTCAGTTACTAGAAGCCTGATGCAAGACAAACGTTTGAGTCCAAGAGTTTGCAACAAGCCTGGGTAACACGGAAAGAGCCGATCTCCAAAGAAAAATAAACAGACACCTGCTTTTGGAAAGAAGTGAGCCCTTCTGTTGGTGCAGGTCTGTAACCCAGAATCTAGGGAGGCTGAGACAGGAGAACACACAGAGTTCAAGACTGTCTCAAAGGTTAAAGAGGGCTGGGGTTGCAGCTCAGTGATCGAGTGCTGACCTAGCATCATAGGGAGGGCTTTGGTTCAATCCAGTACAAGGGGTTAAAAAAGAGAAAAAAACAGCAGCTGACCTCAAGGCACTTTTTCATTCCCCGACACTTCTACATCTAAACCCCTCATGCCAAGACATCTCATTAACGTAAGAACAACTGACAGTACCAATGGATGACAGTACCCGGTACTGAGCCATGTTTTTCCCCACAGCCTAGTAGAGGGAAAGGTAATGATAGACTATTTAGTGAAAACAACAAAACATTTTGAATTTAGGTCAACCTCTTTTACCGAAATCCAAAAGTTACTTTAAAATGATTATCTACCTACCTACCTAGCTATCTAAGCAACATGAAATTCAGTTTCCATGATGTAAATGTACAATAATGTTCCTGGCTAATTAATCTCTAGAACGGTTTAAAAGCAGAGGCTGCCAAATAGGTTAGCTCACACGTGTGAGCCTAGCACCTAAGGCTGAGCCTCCTAGGAAGTGTCAGGCCAGCCTGAGCAGGAATGAGGCAGCCCTGTCTAGAAAAAAGGCAGAGGATACATGTAAAAGCACATGAAAAGGGCCTTCCCTTTTACACACACACACACACACACACACACACACACACACACCGACTGAAGAGCTGGGGTACAGATGGGCAAGAATGTTCTACAAATGCCACTGAGCTTCTGGCAGAGTTGACATGCCCTAACCTGCTTTAAAAATTACTATTCACTGCCTTCATCCCAACCTAATTTTATTCGTACTATTCTTTTGGATAACTCTACCAAAAAAAAAAAAAATCCCCAGAGCAAATTCTTGTGTATTTATTTCAATATCCTGCCTACTTATATGAGCGGAAGAGTCAAACAGCAGGGGAAAAACGTGACGTGCACAACCTTCATCCAAAACACAGTTCGTCTAATTTTGGGCCTAACCGGTTTGGTTGACTTTAAATGGTTAGAAATGAAAAGACAGAAAATCGGCAGGTCACTTGTAAAGAAGAACCTGGCTGCTATCAATGGGAGCTGTTTTTTTTTTCTTGTTTTTTGTTTTTTAATCAAAGAGGAAACAAATCTCTCCCACTCTACCTATTCCTATTAAATTAAGATAAAGGATAAGGGAGAACCTCCCATCAAGCCACAACAGCCATTATTTCACACACTTCTGTCTTGGATGACTTGATCTCTGAAGAACTAATCAAAAGGTTGAGTCCACTAAGTTATTTGCGGCAACGTTTTTGTGAGTAAGGAGGGCGCGCGTGTTTCAGACAGCCAAACATGGTGAAAAGCCAACCTCAACGCAAGTTAACCTTAAGAAGCAAATAGTCACCTCCTGGCTGAAGATCAAGCAAAAACTGTGAGAAGATCCTTAAGTTCTCTTCTTAAGCGGAGGGTCCCGGAGCCCGGCAAAACTTTCTCCTGATGTGGAGAATGAGGAAGAGCTTACAGACGGAACCTAAGGGGCTCGCGACAGGATTCTGGAGCCACAAGGCTGCAGCGAACGCAGCTGGTAAAGGAGGGACCATCCAGGAACAAACCCGAGCTGTCCGGTGCAGCGCCGCGGCAGAGAGGGGCGAGGGCGGCGGGGCTGGGGCCGGGCAGAGAGGGGTCCCCGCAGCCCGGCAAGCCTCCTCTCGGCCGAAGCCGAGGAGAGCCCGGGCGCAGACAATGAGCCACCGCCCGGAGCCGGAGGCCCGCTCGCAGGTGCCTGCGTCCCGGCCCGCTGGGCCCAGGCCGCGGAGGCGGGAGGAGGGCGGCGGCCGGGCCCGGGCGAGAGCGTCCGCACTTACCAGAGAGGGAAGGAAGGTCTCCGCCCGTCCCGGGGCGGGCTGCCGGGCCGACGCGGGCGAGCGCTGCGCTGGGCAGCAGAGAGGCAGGAGGGCAGGGCAGAGGGGAGCGGCTCGGGGCGCGGCCGTCGCTACCGAGGCCGTGAGGCGCGGAGCCCCGCGGGCCAGGGAGGGGAGGGCAGGAGCCTTCGGCAATGGCGACGGCCCGGGCCGGAGGGGAAGCGGAACAACCGCTGCTGCTGCGCGTGGCCACAACCCTGGGGGAGGGCGGTGGCAGGGCGAGGGGCGGGGCCTGAGCACGGACCCGCCCCACCCGTGGCGTCACTCCCGAGGGGCGGGCCCACACAGGGCTGCTGGGAAACGTAGTCCAGTCATTTGCTGGAGCGGGGCGGGCGGGAGGTAGTTTTGGGATTAGAGAAAGCTTGTCCCTCATTTAATTCAGCATTCTGCATTGTCTGCAGTAACGTTTTACCTACTGAAGATGCTGACGGAGAACATCTGATCCATACATGTTTGTGTATACAGGATCTTTGTTTCTGAGAATTTATCCATTCATTATTTAACTTTTTTTAACCTACAAAGTAAACCAGATTATGCTGCTAAATAAGGTCTTCCCTATTTGCAAACAAATACCTCTATATTTTATCAACGGAGGAGTTAATCTATATATTCTTATTCTACAATTATGTCAGTGTCTAATGCCTATAAAAGACACCTTTAGGTACCAGGGATTCAAGGATGGACACGCTTTCCCTAGTCTTTGTAAAGTTTATAAATAATGAAAACAATAATCAAAGCATTGATATGTTACAAGGAAAAAACTGAGGGAGATTACTTGACAGAGAAGGTGATATTTAAAGTGAAAACAGAAAGAGAGAGCCAGAAACACATAGAGGAAAGGATTACAGGCAGGAAGGAAAAGGAATGCCAAGGTCAGTTAAGAAGACCCACAGAGGGTTGGGGATTGAGCTCAGTGGTAGAGCGTTTGTCTAGCAAGCGCAAGGCCCTGGGTTCTGGCCTCAGCTCCATGTAGAGATGGAGAGATGACTCAGCCATTGAAAGTTAGGCTCACAAACAAAAATATAAGAAGATCTGTGTAGCTGCAGTTTGGTGCAAGATGGGTATATTATGGTGCACTGGAGTACAACAGATATGATGGAGAAAACCTGCAATTCCAGCACTTGGGGGGCTGAGGTTAGATGAGGAATTGAGTTTGGGGCTGACTACAAACCAAGACCCCATCTCAAAAAACAAACAAAACCAAGCCAAACAAACTTCACAGCAGACAGGATTGATATGGTAAGAAGTGTGCACTTTACTTCAAGAAGCCATTAAACAATTTTAAACAGGAGTAATGTTACCTGGTTTACCCTTTAAGCTCATTAGATTGTCAGATTCGATGGTGCATGCCTGCAATCCCAGCATTTGGGAGGTTAAGGCAGAAATGTTCAATACCAGCCTGGATCACATATAATAATTCAGTTTTGTTTTTTTTTTTTAAAAAGAGGAAGGGGGGGGCAGGGCAGTGTTAGTTGAAAGCCCAACAAGCCGTGGCTCCTCTCCCCAGAGCTGCTCAAGACCAAGCCTACAGGGTATTTAAGCTCTGGTCCATAGACCTGCCATGTGATTCCACCCCCCTCACTTCTGGGGGGCTTGAGAGTCACCTGAGAGAGTGCTTGGCTCATTAACCCTGGACTTTTAATTCAGCTTGATATGGTTTATTGCATCAGCAGAGAAACCTAGAACCAAGGATACAAAAATACTTATCAGGCAGCTAGACAGCTAGATAGCTCAGCAGGTACTGAATGGTACTTACCACCAAGACTAACCATCTCAGTTGCATTCCCCAGAATCCACATGGTAGAAGAGAACTCTAACCTCCACACCTGCACCCTGCCCCACCCCCCCCAAAAAATGAGAGGGAAATGAACTAGGGAGAGTGATTCCAAGAGGATTCCAGAAAATGCTCTCTGTTTCGAGAAAAACTGCTAGGAAGAGCAGAGAAAAAGACTCAAGATAACTTGAAGTGCTCTCACTGTCAAACCTATGGGCACTTGCTGGAATGTGACACCCTTACAGAAACAGAGGGAAGTGGTCACTAGAGAAGAATGCCCCTCTGGTAGTTCTCCAAACCCCAGGCTCAGCCCCAAAAACAAAGAGAAAAGCAGAGTGAATGAAGCCATGTTTGTTGAGGTTAAAATACCAGCTTTCCTTGAAAATCTCTAGGGTTTTATTGCTACTCTGGAGAGGGCAGTGAGGCTATAGACTACCAAAGATATAGACCCAAGATAAAGCGACCAGGAAAAAAAACCCAAACAAACAGTTCTCTACCAATGAGCAACTACTCAATTCACACCCATTTCTTAGCTGGGCACAGTGACTCACACCTGTGAATCTGAGGGCAGCCTGGGCTATAACATGACACCCTGTTACAAAGAGGCAGTAAGTCTTCTATCTCCAAAGCAACCATGGGTGCCAGTCTGTAACGGAATAAAAACCTGAAAGTACTGAGGGAAATAACTAAACCTAGAAATGTACATGTAGCCAAATCATCAAACTAAAACAGAAACATTACCAACAGAGATCTAGAAAGATATAATTCATGCCAGGCATAGTGGTGCAAGCTGGAAATCCCAGCACCTGGGAGGTAGAGGAAGGGTAAGGGGTTCGGGAGTTACAGTGAGTTGGAGGCCAGATGAGCCATATGACACCCAAGGGGGGGATATTAAGGTAAAATAGCTGAGAATAAGATGAATAACTACAACTATCACTGCTTAGGTCAATTCTGAAGTGAACACTTGGTGCATAGCATTCACTCTCTTGTAGTTTATCAAATCCTACTTCAGCCACCTGCTAGGAACCTGCTAGGATGTATGTCTGAGGGATATGGATGTTGGTCACTTTACTCTAATTCCATTTCCAAATAATAGCATTGAACATTTAAGTAGCTTCCCTAGAATAATCCTGAAATTCATTATATCCCAACTCATTAGAGCTGCAAAAGCTCATTCTAGTTCCTAAAGCATGTAGCATTCTCCAAAATAGATAAACAACTAAGATACACACTAATACACATCCCTACCACCACACCTATTGAGATGAGCTGTTTTTCTGTTTTCTGCATCCAAAAGAACCTAACACAATTCTTTAAGATAAATAAATCACAAAGGTGGAACAAATACTAGGACATAATGAACAAGACAGCAGGATCCATTCTCTTGGCCTGACACAAAAAGGACCACACATGGAATTACAAAACTGACTGAAAATATAAAACACCTACTTGTATCTATCAAAGGAAGATAATTTAAGGAGGCCAAACACAGACATGTGCTTATATCAAATTTAGCATCATTTACTGATTAGGCAATGAGAGTCATATCAAAGTTTGTGTTGTCATTCACATGTTTTTCTTGTACTTCTTGAAACCCGTATAAATGAATACAAGACTCGATTATATAATAAGACAATCTTAAATATTAACTTTATGCTTAAAGACGGATAAAATTTGGTTCAACTGAAGAAAACAAATATTTTACTTAAATACACACACATATATGCACACACATGCATACTTGCATACACAGCTACATTCACGAGGATGCACACAATGCATATCCATATTTAAGCAAAGGTGAAGTTTATTAAATAAAGGTTTTAGAAAGGCTAGAGAGATAGCTCAGCAACTAAAAACACTAGCTGCTGCTCTTCCAGAGGACCTGTTGGTCTCCCAGCACCCAAATGGCAGTTCACAACCATCTGTAACTCCAATTTCAGGGGATCTGATGCCTTCATCTGGCCTCCGTGGGTACTGAACACATGTGGTGCACATACATTCATGCAGGCAAAACACTCAGACATATAAACAAAATAAAATAGAAACAGTTTTAATACAGTTTGACTCTCCATAGGATAAAGGAGTAAGTAGTAGGATCTAGGTTTTTATATGACTAGTTTTCTCTCTGCTTTGTTTTTATCTTTAAATCTTCCTTCCAGGGGCAGGAGAGAGGGCTCAGCAGTTAAAAGCACTGGCTGTTCTTCCGGAGGACCTGAGTTCAATTCCCAGCACCCACATGATGGCTCACAACCATCTATAATAGGATCTGATGCACTCTTGTCATGTAGGCATACATGCAAGTAGAGCACTCACATACATAAATAAATCTTCCTTTCTTGTGTATATTTTCTCTCTCTCTCTCTCTCTCTCTCTCTCTCTCTCTCTCTCTCAGAAGTCAGTTCTCTCCTGCCACTTTGGCGATCCTGGGATTCAACTCAGGAAGAGTTAGGCCTGTGCCCAAGTAACTCTACTTATAATCCATCTCACAAGCCCCATACCCTGCTTCTTTTGAGCTTCAGATTCCAAAAGAAATACTGGTAAGGCCTGGTAAGACTCTAGAGCAGTGGACTCAACCTTTCTAATGCTCTGACCCTCTAATACAGTTCCTCTTCGTTGCTACTTCAGAGCTGTAATTTTGCTACTGTTATGAATCTAATACCTGTGTTTTCCGATGGTCTTTGGGGGTCAAGGCCCATAGGTTGAAAACCACTGCTCTAAGGCTGGGTGTTGATGGTGCACGCCTTTAATCCCAGCACTTGGGAGGCAGAGCCAGGTGGATCTCTGTGAGTTCGAGGCCAGCCTGGTGGTCTACAGAGTGAGATCCAGGACAGGCACCAAAGCTACACAGAGAAACCCTGTCTTGAAAAACAAAAAACAAAACACAAACAAACAAAACAAAACAAAACAAAACACTGCTCTAGAAAGACCAGGACAAAAATGATTTCCCACTCAGAGCAAGGCAGCTTGCAATTCCCTCCATTCACCTACCCCTGAAATTTAGGATGATCATCTGTGGACAGGCTCAGCTGCTGCTGAGAAGAGAGCAGTCATCCTGGAGTACCTCACTGCAGAGTTGTCAGAAGCGGCAGGAAATGTACCAAAAGACTGAAACGTAAGGCACATCACCCCACACCACTCACAACTTGTTACTGGTGGAGATGAAGAACTGGACTCTGATTGAGGCCACCACTGCTAGTGGTGGTACCATGCTACACCTTCACAAATCTGTAACTGGGAAGAAAGGACAACAAAAGAAAGGTCTTGGATGCTTGGTTAAGTATTATCTCAGGACACTAAATTCTCTCTCTCTTTTTTTAAGGAGTGAGTAGGTGTCATGTAGTCCAGGCTGACCTTGAATTGGCTATGGAGTGAAGGCTAGTCCTGAAAGCCTGATTATCTTTCTCTATTAAGTGCCGAGATTACAG